AAACCGCGAGTACCTTTCTCAGGCCCCCCCCCAAAAAAATCACCGGTTAACACGGAGGTCGGGGTTAGCTTGCTCCCCGGCTAGATACATCCTGAATCCTTGCCGAGCAGAGGGCAGGAAAGGTACTGGGGGTTTAAGATATGGAAGCACATGCTTTAGCTCTAAGTAAGATAGAATGATAAGACTAGGATTCTCAAACAACCTTTTATTCATCAGCATAATAGTTATTGACAGAAATACGATTTTCCTTATTTCATAATGCTCTCTATCCTCTTGCTTCCATTTTTCGGTGTTTGTGGAGAGAGGTGCAAAAAATCGAAATTGAACGTCTTTTCTGTAAGTCTACTTAAAAAAAACATCCGCAATCAGACACTTAAAACCTATCCCATTCAAATTCATATGTTGAAAAGTTATTGAAAAACAAATTGGAAAAAACATTATGAGGCTTGTTAGTAATCTGTATGTACTTGTTAGGTTTATTTACATCAATGCTTAATAATGACTACCGTTTGATCCCGTAGAGTGACAGTGGATACATTATGGTAGGAAAATTAATACAATCTCCTTTGGAGACGGGTATGCATCAAAAAAATTGCTTTGGACAAATAAGTTACATTTCGAAACATAAATAAAGATACAAATTCATAGAAGTTATAAATATCCCCTGCAATAAATCTTTACCTTAATTTACCTGTAAAAAAATAAAAAATATATGATAGATTTTAAAATGACTTTTCGCATTTGTTTTTCACCTTGCTTGGCCGTACCAAAGAAACAAGGTCCGATGGGCAAAAATAATACAATTTTTTTGAGGGGGGCATGTTCGGCTGTAAAAACGACGCAAAAGGTCATTGCAAAACGTCCTACATCTTTTGCCCTGTTTGGTTGCAAATGAATATAATTTTTTTTCTTATTGGGGGATTTAATATTTATAGTATTTTTTATAAACGTTTCGGTATGATATAGGACCGCCAAATGTAAGTTCACCCTTCTACAACTCCTCTACTGTAAAGTTTATAAGTTAAACTTTATTAAAAATGTACAAACATGATTATATAAAGGGAAAAATGTTTAAGAAGGAAGCCAAAGACTTCCCTACTGTATAGTTTGTGCATTAATTTTTCGTTTCATAAAGATTATTAAAAAAAATATAATGAGTATTTTTATTTTCTATCTTGGAATGATTGCTATATTGCATTATGGGAGTTGTCCTCATGATTTTTTTAAGACTGTTGCAAATGAGAAAACTGATATTTGATAGAGTCTATTAAAAGTGTATGTATGCTCCTGTCATCGGATTAGTACCTCTGGGCCTCAGCCCTCTTCCGTGCAAGCACGCACTCGAACCGACGACCTCGGCCTCAAGAGTGAAGAATCGTAACCACTATAGTCAGGACACGATGTTCAAAAGCGGAAGCATAGCGGCTGTGATATCTGCCCCACACTGTACGGCTGTAGTGTCCACACTCAATACACACTACATGCAACACTACACAGATGCTGGCAATCACCGCACACTTTGCTCCAAGTAGCACATAACCCCCATCGGTAGTATAACCCGCTCACTTATGAGAGACTTTAATTGCCCGCCAGTTCATGGGAACTTTCCAGTGTCATTGTATGTAGGCTCCTTAACTATCTTACATAATAAATTTTACCATTTAGTTTTTGTATTCATGATTGGTGTGTGGTTTAAAATTATTCATCCAGCCCATCCATACTGGTGTTGTCGATTCGTATATCTAGGCCGGACGTCCATGGATTTGGTCGTTCACAAAAGCCAAATGTGAGTTAAAGTTTAAAAACAAAAATAAATTTTTAATTGAAAAATGAATATATATATATATATATCATCATAAACAAAATATATATATAGGGTTGGCAGGCCGAACATACGGAGGCCTCTAAGCTGACCCCCGAACGTTCAGGTGTTCGGGTTCTCGTACGGAGCCCGAACTTGAAGGGGTTCGGACCCCGCAAAAAAATATTTTGGCACCCAAATATTATTATTATTTTTTTAATTATTTTGTGAGTTCTTTATGATGTAATATATCCCCCGCTTAATTTTAAAGTCATTTTGTTCAGCCAAAGATAAATGAAAAATCCTCAAAGGTGGTGGTGTCAAAACTTGCTTGCCCACTCACAAATTTGTTCTTTTGTCTCTATTTACTTTTTGTTTTTTATTTATTTCAGGGCATAAAACAATTTATGTTTTTCTCAAACTTTATTCGTAGATTCTCTATTATGTAAGATACACATATATTAATTTTCATGGCATTTGTCACAGCCAAAAAAAAAAGAAAAATCACCAAAGATGGCGGTGTCAAAAATGTGCTCGCCCACTTAATAATTTAATTCTCGTTTTATTTTTTCCTTTATTTCAAATTTGGTAAAGAATTTGGATATAAAGTTGAGGCAAATGTTGTTTAGTTTATTCTTCTGCATAACATATATATTTTTCAGATTTTTTGGATTTTTTTTTTTTTTTTTTTTTTTTTTTTGGATCTGCGTTCGGCCGAATGGCCGAACGCGTCGAGAGGGTGTGCCTAACGTTTGGGCGTTCGGGTTTGAGCGTTCGGCCCGTCCCGAACGCCAACAACCATATATGTATATATATATATATATATATATATATATTGGTGATGCGGTCATGTTGACGATAATAACCAAGTCTGATTGGAGTAGACCCTTGCTTTAAACATTATGAATCTCGACGATGAAATATTTATGGACCTTTGCTCTTTCCTATTCCTAGTCTGTCATGTGTTATTATGAATCTCCCCAGTATGATGTGACCCTATCCGGGGTATTATTCTTTGAGCACGAGTCATGAAGCAAAAGGAGCCCCACAGCAAAACATAACACACACACAGCGCAAAATCCATGTGCCTCAAATCCGAATTTTTGGTGCGAGGGCATGATGGAAAGATGTATGCCGCTCATGAGGACATATTGCACAGGGACCGGTGAAATGAGACTGGCCGTCCAGTAAGGGCACCCCGGGAAGTTGTGCCCCTTGCTGACAGGGGCATGCGGGAAAGTTCAGAGGCCTCAGGGGCACAGCAGGGAATGTGGGCCGTCGAAGGGGCGAGACACAAAATAATGGAAATTACACGGGCGCCAAACAAATTTCCCCCTTTCAAAAACAATGGCCCCAACCAATTTGAAAAACAATGGGCCCTCAGTTTTTGAAAAACAATGGGCCCAACCAATTCAATCACCTGTCAAATCTGGACAGGACGGCAGGCCTTTTTTATTGAACCCCGTAGCAGCCACATCTCTGCTGAAGCCTCCAACGAGGGGATATGTGGGAGCTGCACCCACCAGCAGGTGCTGCACCTGCTACAGCAGGTGGGCAATACCAGCCAGGGGACAGCCCGTAGCATCAGGACCGAGCTTGTTCGATGGGCCGGTCACTGTGCCTCCCCTCCGGTCCCCTCCCCCTATGAACATCAACAGTCTCTGCTCAATGCCCCTCGGGGGCACCAATGGCATTTCTCCAGGTTGCGGGCGGCAAGCATGCCTAGGAAGGTACATGAGGCCAATGGGGATTAAACCCAAGACCTCCTGAATGCCACTTGCGTGCCTTACCAACTGAGCTAAACGGCTGGCTGATATTACACTGGCGTGCCTCACCCAAGAGCCTAGCTCAGTGGGTACAGCCATGAACTGTTGAAATACAGACCTGTGTTCGAATACAGATGATGGAACTTGAGGAGTAAAACCAACTACTAATGAATTGCCCGGGGCCGGTCAGCTCAATGATAATATCTCAAGGCCGTTGCCCAATAAAAAAAAAAGGCCGAGAAAGGTATTATTATTCGGATATGTAGGGCCTCGCCACACCACTCCCCGAATGTGGGAAAACGGAAAGAATCTTCCCCTAATCTACGGATAGGTACACGTGTCTAACTTTTGTCGTTTGTGCGATTGGTGAGTGGTGCGGCGAGTCCCGTACCAAGGGTGAGGTCCCACTAGCAAAGAGGATCGGATCGAATGCCTGACTCTGGGCGCGTTTGAGGAAAATTGCAGAAAACCGAGATTGAACTCCTTTTCTGCATCTCTATATAAAACACGCCCAGATTCAGGATATTAATCCAATCCTGGTTGCGAGTGGGACCGTGCTCCAGTAGTCGCATTCTTGCGACGGAGGGTTCCTCGACTCCGAACTCCTTTGGCATCGAATCTGACCGCCAGCACTGGTCAGGTACATCCATGGAAGTCGCGCTGGACGAGGTTTGGTACACACGTGGGTGACACGTTTGCATGTTCTCGCCTCGATCAATGTGAACGCGAGGCCGATGCATGAGGGCATTCATTCGCCGGCTGAATTCGAATCCGGGTTCGATGCATGCCCGATTTCCTGGTCGGCGACGAAACAGGACAGGACGGCTGACGTCCCCTCAGGGGCTAGGTCCCACTTAACACGAATTAAGCGATGTTGACCGTAGATAGCAAAGATCAACGGCCAGAACATCTCTTAATCCGTGCAAGTGGGACCTTGCCCCCGCTGACGAGTAGCCAGCGATCAATCGAATCGAAGAGGGAAATGAGGCGAAAAGCGACGGTGGAAGAAGCAGAGGGAAGTTTTCAGACGTGGTGCCACGTGTAGTACTTCGGCGCGCTGTGTTTTCTTTTTTTTGTCTTTTTTTTAGTGCAAAAGTGTTAGTATCTGTCATGATTAGTTTTTCATCATATCTGATCCGTTGTCCGTCGGACTACACGGGAAAAAAGAAGGTGGACCTTCGGGACATCCGTTAAAATCTGAACAATACAGAGATTTTTTTTTTTTTTGAGGGGCCCTCAGGGTTATACAGAGAAGATTAGCATGGCCCCTGCGCAAGGAATATAATCAATATGGGAGCCACGTCAGCTGTCCACGTCATCTGTTCACGTCAGCTATTCTCTTAGGCTGCAGACACTCGGCTTGTGTGCCTTCAACTGTAGACGTTTCCACGTGTGGGCACTCATTTGCCGGCTGAATCTAGCCACGAGCTCGGGTCTGATGCATGTTCGCTTTGTGGGCATTCATTCGCCGGCTGAATTTCACCGCGAACTCGGGTCCGATGCATGTCCGCAGTTTTTTCTGCCGTTGCGGATAGATGTGTGCCGCGTCAGCTGTTGTGAAACGGATCCGGTATCATCTACCCGTCTTCACCCGAACAGAGCGCCCGGTCATTACCGCTGCATCTGGACTGAAAATTGCACTAAATTCAGGTGTGATGACCGGGCGTTCTACTCGGGGGAAAGACAATAGTACCGCCGGTAGTGAGTATCCCCAATGCGAGTGAGAGGATTGCTGACGTGGCACGTGTACGGACTCGATAGTTTTTTGTTTTTTTTTTCTCGATAGGTATTCTGAAAGTGGATAAGGTAGTGGTAGGTAGTGTGAGGTGAAATTGAGAGAAGAATATAGCTTAAAAAAAAAAAAGACAAAAAAACTGGATAAGGTAGTGGATAAGGTTCAATGATGGAATCTTTCAGTCGATAGGTTTTCTGAAAGTGGATAAAGTAGTGGATAACGTGTTCTCGATTTTTTTTTTCCCCCCCTTTCTCAATAGGTTTTTCTCTCACAATAGGATGACTGTAAACGGAGCTGAGTAGTGCGCTCATTTATTTCCGGGTGGAATAGTGAGGAAAAAAAAGAAAAAAGAAAAAAGAAAAAGAAAAAAGAGTGGATAAGGTATTGGATGAGTGAAGGCATGAGCTGGTTACAAGTCACTATTACTCATCAGTCATCAGTCGTCAGTCATCATGAACCAAGTGGATAAGGTAGTGGATGAAAAGGTATGAACTCCAAAAARAAAAAAAAAAAAAAAAAAAAGGTATGAACTCATCAGTGATCAGTCATCTCACTCTCACCAGTGACCACTCATTTTAGACCAAGGGGTAAGGTATGTCATCAGCAATCAGTTTTTTTTTGACGTCATCAGCAATCAGTAATCACTCATCTCTTTCTCTCATCAGTGACGAATCATCATCTTAGACCAAGTGGATAAGGTAATGGATAAGGTAGGGGGATGAGGTAGTGGATAAGGTAGGGGGTTGAGGTATGAACTCGTCAGCGATCACTGCTGAATAAGGTAATGGAGAAGATGAATAAGGTAGTGGATAAGATGAATAAGGTAGTGGATAAGATGAATAAGGTAGTGGATAAGGTAATGGATAAGATGATGATCTTCAGATGAATAAGGTAGTGGATAAGGTAATGGACCGCCAAGGGGTCAGCGGCTCATCTTCAGTCTAAACAGAGGCAAGCACCTGTGTGACAAAGAAGCCCATGATGATGGCTGCTGCCTCCTTTGCTGTGCTGACACGCGGCAGCTGTCCGTGTGTGGCATGGTCTTCCTCGTCTGCCCACGTGGCGTCTGCCAAGGATAACAAACTAATGATGACGACGATCCATCAAATCCCGATCCCGACTGCAGCAAACATCAACTGCTTGTCAAGCAGGAAACGTTCTGCTGAGGTCACCTCCTCCTCCTCCTCCTCCTCCTCCTTCTCATCGTCGTTATCCTCTTTATCATCATCTCTATGGTCTATATCATCGTCGTCATCGTCACCGTGTTTATCTTCATCACCATCATCACGATGGCTGCCTCCGAACATGCGCCGGGGTTTAATTAGGATGATGTCACTGTCGCCGCTGTGTCACATTGGATATGCAATCCCTCATCATCATGATGTACAGATTAGTCTTACCTCCTCCTCCTCCTCCTCCTCCACCTCATCATCATCATCATCATCGTCAGCATCAGCATCAGCAGCAGGGGAAGGATTAAGGATGACGTCATCATCAATATGGATAAGGTCATCAAAGTGGATAAGGCGGGATACTGCCCGCGGGGGGCACGGTGGAGACAGAGGAGGATGGACAAGCCGATTTCGAGCGTTTGCAAGAAGGCGAGATGAAGGAGGGATGACGCTAAGAAATGACAAGAGACCTTTCATGGAGAGGAGAGAAAGAGGAAGGGGACGTGGTGATGATGATGATGATGATGATGAAAATGATGGTGGTGGTCTCTTTTCGTCAGCAGAGAAAGCGATGAAGTCTTTGTCGATGACGAAGTATAGAATGAGGGGAAAAGAAGGAAAGGAGCGTGACATGGGAGGTTGGGGCGAAGGAGAAGGAGATGGAGGTGGTGGAAGAGGAGGAGGAGAGGAGGAGGAGGGGGAGGGGGAGGAGGATGGCGAGAGACGCAGGGCGCCGGTGTTTTCAAGAGCTTCCATTTTTGGAAAGCAGGTCATCACCAGGGATGCAGCTTTGAACCTAGGTCTTGTAACCCAACTCTGGGTAGACCCCCTCAAGGTAAGCTTTTTTATATAATATATGTAAAATATATATATAATATAATATATATATATATAATAATATATTGTCACATGATATCAGAGCGCCGAAGCGAAAAACGAAAGAAAACAAGGAAAACAAGAAAAAATTAATTCGTTTTTAATCTTCTTCCTTACAAGACTCCCCCTGTTCATAAAGAACCTCTTTTGCGTACAAGGCCGCCCACGTGGATGTAGGTTGAGCGGCGGCTGCCCCCACCCCCGTGTGTCATATCGACCGACTTGCACGCAGCCAAACGGCAAAGAGGCAAAGAAAAGAGGAAGGGAACAGCCAAATAAAACAGACAGAACAGGGGGCAACAAACAGATCCCAGATGACAAGTCCCACATGCAAGCACCGCCCCAGCACACACAGGCCAAACGACGGGACAAGACCAACCAGGCGCTCAACCTGTGATCCACGTGGCTGGCCTTGTACGTAAGAGGTGATGAACAGGTGGGGCTTTCCTTCCTTACTTCTTTTCCTTTCCTTTTTTTTTTTTTTTTTTTTTCGCCTTCGCGCTATGATTCACAGTGTGACAATATATATAATATATAATATATATATTATATATATCGTCAAACAGAGCTGCCCTGCGGTAAACCGTAGGCAGAGAGGAAGAAGAGGACAACACACGAGGGGCGGTGACAAACTGTTTCGTCGGAGTTTCATCGACTCATCAGGAGGATATATATATATATATAGATATATATATAAAATACTGTATAGATATGTGTACATATGTATGAATAAATCGGAAATTTATGTCCTTTTGCATCTTCTTCTTCTTCTTCTTCTTCTTCTTCTTCTTCTTCTATTACTTCTTCTATTACTTCTGCTTCTTCCTCGCCTTTCTCATCTTTCGCTTCCGCTCATCTTCCTCTTCCTCTTTTTTTTTTTTTTTTTCGAAAACAAAATCTCTTCCTCTTTCTCGTCTTCACGCTTGTCGTTTACGCATGATGGGTATACGGAGCGGAAGTCCTCGTATTACTTACTAATGAAGTCTACAATGTTCACATATTTTTCGAACGGATGCACGTACTTTCATTCGTCAATATCCTCCAATATCTTAAATTGAAATGTTTCAAAAAAAAAACAAAATCATCCTCATTTTTTTT